AGACATGACAATCCCCTCCTCAGGCAAGTCGTTGACTACGTACCCGACGTGACCGACAAACACAAAAGACCTAGACACCAACTTTTTGACCCTGGCTGACCCCCCCCCCTGCCAGCTAACCTTTTCTGTTTCAGAGACAGCCAGGATCAAGAAACGAAGACAACGACACACACACACACATACACACCCCCATACCCTCCTTACCCCCCCTCCCTCCCGCGATAGCCTAAGGGCCACCTTAGCAAAGCGCATCCCAGGCTGCATAGCCGTACTGCCCTACCCAACCATACCACACATAAATATGACACAACCCCCGGGGTTTACACAGACGAGCCGGCGAAGCAAGAAGAGCGCCAGAAGAAAGGGCCCTAGCCGGCGGGGCCCAGCCAGGACAAAAGGAGGTCCCACAAAGCGCCTACACCGGCCGCATTTGCGGTCGGGGTAGACGACGGATGGGGCCCACCTACGAAGGCTGTCCAGGCCTACACGAGATGAGGCAGGATAAAGAGGGATAATCCCCCTCGATCCCAAATCATTGAGGCCAATTTCTAGCCATGGAATAATGGCGCGAGTCGTGTGGTGATGCCCCCTTACGGGGGCGTACGTGTCTTATGGTGTATTTGTCTGTCTGGTATGTTGTTTGTCGAGGGTCGCAATTTTAAAGAAATGTATTCTAAAATAATGCAAATAACTAATACATAAAGTAAAAACTTACTTGGGCATAACCCCGGCACAGGTACCTGTAACAAAGATGCCGACGGCCTCTATGCTTAAGCCGGGGATTAGGTCGGTGGTTAAGAGGAAAGAAAGTGATTCTTTCCAGGTAGCCTTAATAAAAGCAGGTAGATCTTGCTCGTTGCAATGCAGTTCACTTCACAATAAACACGTTCGCTCAGTTCGGCCGCTCGCTCGAGAATCGGTCGGTGATTAAGAGGAAAGAAAGGGATTCTTTCCAGGTAGCCTTGATAAAGGCAGGTAGAATTTGCTCCTTGCACTACACTTTCACAAAACACGTGTGCTCTGCTCGGCTGCCCGCTCGGAACTCGCATCATACTAAAACTAAATATTCAAATCTTAATCTTGCCCTGACAGATAAATATCGCGCTTTAAATTAAGTGTTAAGTATGTTAAGCAATTCATTTGACAAAATGTACTTCGGAAGCACTTCAGGAACACTTCAGATTAACTTTTTGCATTACAATAATCTGGAACATTTTACTTTTAAAGTGATCCTGTTTGTTTTCCACTACCCGTCAATCTTATCCTTTTATTGATGAACTCTTTATACTCTGAAATTGTTTCCACACTGAGTGGAGTTAGCATTTTTTAATATGTTTTCATTATTGTTATTATTTTGTGGCACTGTTCATTTTAATAAGCGAAATTTATATTAGGCTCTGGCTTTTGGCACGCAATATTAAAAAAAGTACTTTAAAAATTATTTAAATACGTGTTTCTCTCAAAAGTGTTCCAATTGTTTAAGTTTGGAGTATTTAAAGAATAGGACACTAGAAGAACACTTCAGGTGCAGACAATTGGAAAGTACCTATTTCGTATTAAGTTATTGTTGCCATAGAAACGAGTAAGTTTTAAATCCTACCATCTAAAACTTAAAAAAAGAACTACCAAAGAAATTGACAAATTCAAGTTAATAATGACGGAGCTAGGAGGTAAGAATTTGCCAGATATTTAAATAGAGATTTCATTATCATTTCAATAAAATTGTTATAATTCTAAAGTGGAAGAAAGTATAGATGAAGAAGTAAATATTTCCCATGCATGTACAGACGAAGCTGATAACTATTTCGCACGAATTATTGGGCGCATAGAGGAAATTATAGTGGATGAAAATTTTATGAATTTACAGAGTAAATTTTTGGAAGAATATTGGAGAGAGTTTGACAATGAAGAAGAAAATAAATTAGTTTATACAGATATATTCAAAAAATATATATCTACAATAGAAAAACATCTTGAAGAGAAATTATTAATATCAATAAAGGACTTTAATATGAAACATTTTGAACAGGAATTAGAGTAAGATTTAAATTTTGCTATATCTGATTATTGGGTATAAATATACAGGATATTCCGTTTATACTTGAAAATAAGTGAGGGGTGAGAGCATAAATAGTATACTATATTAGATCTATGGGTGAGAGTCTTTTGGAAAAATAGTGTAGGTATACTGTAGGTAGTTGATATAACATTTTTTTTATTTTCGTTGTTGTGTTGTGATATACGGGTTTTCTTAATTATATTTAAATCGGCTAAAGATAAAAATGTCAAAATTTGTATACTTGTACCTGTTAACTGTGTCTTAAGAATAACGTGTGAAGCATATTTTATTCCAAATAGCATGGCATTGATGCTTGTAGCTTGTGGTTATAACTGAAGGAATAATATGTTAAGCCTGTATCAGACAATGCAATTTAGTTGCAACGACAAAATTACTGGGATTTTGTGGTGGGGATAAAATTGCATGCTTATTTTTAACATGTAAAATTTCTTGTATGTATCTTGTAAACAATTATTTTTTATTCAAGCAAAACATTGCAATGGATGAAAATTTAAAAGTAAATTGATGTATAGCTTTAATAGTGGCTTCAACAGTGTTACTAACAACAAGAAGAAGAACAACAGCCAAAAACAGCTAGGTTGGTAATAAACAAATCTTCATAAAAGTAACTAGAATCCCTGCAATTTTATTGCACGGAATAGAGCATGTTCTAATTCATGCAATTCAGTTGCCGGGACAGAATTGCATAGTCTGATAAGAAGAATTTCATGGATTCTATTGCAGCAACCGAATCCCTGCAACAAAATTGCATTGTCTGATGCAGGCTTTAAGAATCAAAGTTTCTTAAATATCTTAATGGTTTTGCCTTACTTAGCAGGATAATACAAAAAAACATGAATTCTAGTCAAATATAGTCAAAATTTCTTAAGCATCTTAACAGCTTTGCAAACCTCAAAAGTGTAATACAAAAAACATATACAGGGCGAGTCAAAATTCACTCCCCAGCGGCCGGATATATTTTCTAAAATAAAAAATAAAACAAAAATGTAGAATACTAAAATCTCGAAAGCGGAGTCGTTTTCGAATAAATTATTAACTTTAGTTCAATAAATGCGCAATTTTCGACTGACTAATCAATTGGCCGGACAAAAATCTTGTTGACACGGATTTACTTGACAGTGACGTATATTTATTTGACTTTTAGTATTTGTTGTTGAGTTCAAAATGGCAGGGTTTGCTTATACCAACAGAGAATACGTCGATGTGATTAAAGCTTTAGGAGCTTGTAACAATAACGCCTGTGCTGCCGAACGTTTGTACAGGGAACAATTTCCGAATCGCCATCATCCCCATCACAAAAAAATCCAAAATGTAGAAATACGTACTGTGGAAACTGGATGTGTAGCTCCAAAACGTTCTTTGTATGCCGGTCGCCCTTGAAAATTGGCATGGCAACAGGAAGAACGGTTACTGCAGGATGTTGAGAATAATCCTACCACCAGTACACGCATATTATCAAGAAACAGGCATCATGTCCAATCGACTGTCCATAGATGTCTTCAAAGGTACAGCTTGTATCCGTATCATGTAGAGTCAATTCAAACGCTGCATCCCGGAGACGACCAATTAAGAGTAAATTTTTGCAGATAGGCATTGCAAGCATTTCAGTGCAATCCAGATTTTTTCTATAATGTTTTATTTACCAATGAAGCTCATTTCAACCAACAAGGAGTTTTCAATCACCACAACCTTCATTATTGGCATTATGAGAATCCTCATGAAAAACGTCAGCAGAATCAGCAAAGACATTGGTCTGTAAATGTTCGGATAGGTACCTATTTACGGGAAAAGGATCATAGGTCCATATTTTTTGCCAAGAATACTGAATGGTGAAAATTACAGTAATTTTTGCGAGAACATTTTGCCAGATTTGTAGATACACATTTATTTAGCAAATGCTATACATACAAACGGTTACATAAACTCAAGCAACAAAAATCCTTAAAATAGAAATATATAAAAGTTTACCCTGGTAGTGACCTAATGTAACTAACAATTAGCTTATTGAAATGATTAACTGGCCCATTACAATTTTTTATATATTCTGGTAGCTTATTGTATTGCATAAGACCCTGGTAAAATAAAGATTTACTAGTTCTTAATAAATTGTGTCTTTCTATATAAAAGTCATCCTTTTGGCGAGTGTTATAAACATGTCCATCTCTTACATAAGTTATTCTACTGTGCAAATAGCTAGGTAAGAGCAAATTTTTTATTTTATATATAAATTGTAACGTTCTTAACAAAATTCGTTGTTTTATGTTTATAAAATTTAATGCATTTAACATGTCCTGTATTGGAGTATATCTACTACACTGCAAAATAATCCTCATAGCTTTATTCTGCATTTTCTGTAGAGTCTGAATCTCATTGTTATTTAAAAATAATAAAATCGTTGAACAATATTCAAAATGTGGCGCAATTATCGTTTTATAAATGGTCAGTCTGGCAAAAAATGATAAATCCTTAGATATACGCCTTAAGAAATTAATTTTTTTGGCAACTTTTTTAACAATATATGCGGTATGTTGTTTAAAACACATACATTCATCCAACATCACACCCAGATATTTTATCTGATGGACTCTTTCTAGTTTCTCGTTATTTAATTTAATATAATCCTCTATCGAAATTTTATTCAATGTATGTTTTTTGCCTAATACTAACCACTTACATTTATCAATATTTACTTTCAAATTATTGTCACAAAGCCATGCATATAAATTATTTAGTTCCCCGTTAATATTTCTTATAATATCATTAACATTTTTACCAAACATATAAAGCATTGTGTCATCTGCAAACAGATGTATTTTGCAATCAGTTAAACAACAGAGAATGTCATTGATAAAAATAATAAATAATATAGGACCCAATACTGAGCCTTGAGGTACGCCATATTTAGTTTCCTTTCTTCCAGATACTCTCTCACCATATTTTGTTTTTTGTCCTCTTTTTGTTATGTAAGATGAAAACCACTGCAAAACATTTCCTCCAATTCCAATACTTCGTAACTTCGAGAGAAGAAGACCTCGATCAATGGTTTCGAATGCACGTTTAAAGTCTAGAAATACAGCCACTACTATAGTATCATTATCAATTCCCCGTACCCAGTCGTCCAAAATACACTGTAATGCAGTTTCACATGAATGCGCTCCTCGGAATCCTGATTGTACTGATATGATGATATTATTATTTTGTATGTAATTTATTAATTGTTCTTTAACTACCAATTCCAATACTTTTTCACAAACTGGCAATGAATTGATTGGTCGATATTGGTCACATAAAATAGTATTAATAACTTTTGGTATAGGTGTAACAAATGAATTAGTCCATGCATCTGGAAAAACGCCCGACTGAAGAGAACAATTAACCACATCCAAAAACCTGTTGCCGATGATTTCAAATGTGTCTTTAATAACATTTGTGGGAATCCCATCACATCCTGATTTATTTGGTAATGCATCAATAACTTTTCTCAATGCATTCATTTCTATGACTTTAAATTCGCGTAATCTACAATCAACTCCAAAGTCATGACTTGTGTACAAATCAAATTTTGGTATATCATGAATAATCTCTACCACACTCTCTATAAAATAGTCATTAAATTTTTCTGCAATCTCCAATTCATCCGATACTTCTTGTTCATTAAATTTAATACATTTAGAAACATGCTTTTTCCCTTTATTCATTTGTTTCAATGTTTTCCACATCAATTTCGAATCACCTTTACAATGGTCTATTTTGTTTTCATAATACTGTTTTTTCTCTTTTCTTATCATTGTAACTACCTTATTCCGTTTTTCTTTGAATGAATTCCATTCCTCTTCTCTTCCTGTAATTCTAGCTGCTTCATATTGTCTATCTCGTTCTTTCATAGCCACTAAAATTTCTTCTGTAATCCACATTTTATTTGCATATTTGATTGGAACTACAATTTCCTTTATGGGACAAACATTATTAAGACTATTTTTAATACAGTTAATTAAATTTTCCGCCAACACATTAATGTTTGCACTGTCATTGTTCCACTCAGTATTAATTAAAATTTCTTGTAGGGCATCCTTGTTATAGTTTTTAAAACTTCTGTAACATTTCTTTATACGATATGTGTTATTATTACTCTTTACTGGAAAATGTATGGTTATGTAAGCATGATCCGTTATCTTTGGTGTATGATGCACTTTATGTGTTATAGTATCACAATTAGTTATTAGCAGATCAATCAAAGTTGCAGTGTTCTGTGTAATTCTAGTTGGTTCCCCTACTAACTGTATAAATCCATTTTCCATAATAATTCTCGATAACTGTGTTGAATAACATGTGTCCCTCAACATATCTATGTTAAAGTCTCCTGTTATAATACTGTCTATATTACTAGAGCTGTATTCTTCTATCAGACTCTCCAAATTGTTCAAAAAATCCGCTGTACTTGCACTTGGCGAATGATATATCCCTATTATATTATAATTGTCCGTATTTATTTGCACTTGCACTCCCACACACCAAAGATTGTGTTCGACTGTAAAATTTTTTATATTGTAGAAGGACATTTCATTTTTAATATATAATATAACTCCTCCTGTGTGTGTGCTTTTGGAGTAACAAATTTCTGGTTTATAACCATCTATTTCAATTTCAGATATCTGTATATCATTTGTAACGTGAGTCTCTGTTAAACAAACTACATTTGGTTGTAAAGTATGTATAAGTAGTTCTATTTCCTCTTTATTATGTAGAAAGCCTTGTGTGTTCAAGGTTAAACATTGATGTTTACGATGATGTATTCTATCTTTGAAATTTGCTAATTGCTATTGATCATCCAAATAATCAATTTTCCTTTTGATGCTGTTTAATATTCTTATATAGCAAGGACATTTTGGATCTAATGCATTATGATTATCTTTTATCTTTATTTTATACTTTTCAATTGCATTGCTACAGTTTATGCACTTATTATATCTGGCTTTACATTCTCCTGTATGTTCCAATGAACATTTATAACATATATTGTTATTTTTACAGTCCTTGGCCATATGGTTGAAGCCAAAACACTTAAAACATCTAACAACATGAACATAATCATAAGCTTTGCCTCTCGACCATCCTATAAAAATTTTGCCCTTGTTTAACAGTATATTATGTGTCTTTGAGTCAGCTTCTAGTATTAATGTAATTTCTCTATTTGCTTTTTTTATCCTTTTTATTATTTTCAAATGAAATCCTTCTTCTGATCCATGTTCTGTTAAATTTTGATCTTTTATTGCATTCAAGAGATTGTCATCTGTGTCATCGTCTTCCTCATTTACTCCAATAATTTTAATTCTTGGATATTTCAAATTTGGTTTTCTAATATCATAATCCCCTGACATTTCCTCACATATTTTATTCTGAATTTTCTCTCGAGCTTCTTCATTCCCACATCTTATTACCACTTGACCCCGATGCGCTTCCCTCAATCCAGCAACTCCAGCACCTAATCTACTTGGATCAATCTTCTCCTTAATCTCTTTTTTTGTTTTATCACTACTTTGTACTTCCTTTGGTTTGACAATTAAAACTGGGTCTTTGCTATTAGAAGTATTTTTCCCATTTACTTTATTGCCTGTTACTGTCTGGGAGTATAATGGTTTTGTGTTTACATTACTTTTTATTTCTATCACTGCTGATTCTATAACATTACTCTGTTTTGTACTTTTTTCTTCTAATTTATCAAATTTTTTTGTCAGCATCAGTAGTTCTTCAGTGAGAGTTTCTATCCTACTTGTTTGCTTCTTCACCACTGTATTGAGCTTCTTGATTTCCTCTATTATTTCTTTTTTTGGTTCATCTTCCAAGCAACTTTTACAATAGAACTTCAAAATTCTTCCTTTTATTAACTTCATACATTTAATTTCTGATGCAGTCAATCTTGAACACTCTGTACATATCTTTGCCTCACACTGATCACAGCTCCACAAATGCTCAAAAAAAAAAAAAAATTTAGAAAATATTCCTCTACAACAACGTGCAACTATGTGGTTTCAGTATGTTGGTGTGCTCGCACATGCCACATTACAAGTACGACATATTTTGAACCGCCGCGCGCCGTTTTCCTAATAAATGGATTGGATGGGGTGGACCAACACCATGGCCACCCCGGTCTCCTGACCTGACTCCGATAGACTTTTGGTTATGGGGATACATAAAAGAAAAGGTTTATTTTACTACGCCTGTTGGCGAGGAGGATGATGTTATTGGCAGGATTCATGAAGCAGTAGCGGAAATAAATGAAGCTAATTTCTGTTATGTTGTCAGGAGTTTCTACACAGATTGCAGAAGTGTATTAACGAAAATAGTAATGTTATTGAAGGTTAGCCAAAGCCGGAAGGATTTTAGTTTTTTGCTATTTCTTATTTTGAATGGATTTAAATGGATTTTAATGGTGTTAATATTAAACAAAAAAACTATAAATTTGAATTTTTCTTTACAAAATTTTCCGAAAACAGCTCCGCTTTTGAGATTTTAGTATTCTACATTTTTGTTTTATTTTTTATTTTAGAATATACTTATATCCGGCCGCTGGGGAGTGAATTTTGACTCACCCTGTATAATAGTTAAAAATTGATGACGTACATTTTTTTGAGAAAAATGAAAGTAGGCTCTTTGTTGTTTACAGAAGATGACAGAAAGTAAATTTGAAAATAAGCTAATTCAAACAAATTACTTTGTGCACATTTGATATTTTTAATGTAATTGTAATATCTTGGAGTGGTTATAAATGAAAAATTGTAGATTTTTACTACTTAATTTTATTTTCTTCCCCAACACACAGTGATAACATGCATCAAAAAACGTTGAAATTTGCCCTTTTATATCGAGCGCTGTACAAAAAAATAAAAGAAATAAAATAGACAAAAACAATATCTATCCTAGAAAAACATACACTATTCTACATTAATTTATATATGAAAAGTAAAACTAGATGCATTCGTTGGAAAAACTTCTATCCATTTTGAGTGTGCATCTACAATTATAAAAAAATATTTATTTAAAAAGGGACCCATGTAATCAATGTGGATTCTGGAAAAAACATTTTCTGGCCATTGCAGGGATTTAATTCAGATTTTGGCCGGCTTTTTTTATTTACCGAACAAAATTCACAACTGTTTGCAAATTTTTCAATATCTTTATTAATGTTTGGCCAAAAAAAGTACGATCTGGCAATATGCTTCATTTTTACAATTCCTAAATGAGATGTGAAGCTGAGACAAAATACGATTTTTTAATAACTGGTATAATTATACGATTGTTCCACATTAAAACATCGTTTTCTATCGTAAGCTCGTTACAAATTGTATAAAATTGTTTAAATTTTTTATCATTTTTAGCATATTTTGGCCAACCTTGCGTTACGAATTTTTTTATATCTTGTAAATTTTTATCTGCAATGGAATATTTTTTAATTTCTTCAAAATTTGTTGAAATTATATCATTATTCGAAAAAAAATTAACGTAATCTACATCAAGTGATTCCCAGATTTCATTTTCGACACTATTTATTGGCAATCTAGACAAAAAATCAGCATGATTATTATCTGACTTAACATACTGCACTTTATATCTATAATTTGAAAGTATGACTGCCCAACGACGTAATCTGTTCGCGGAAAATTGAGGAATACCTTTCGTAGGATTAAAAATAGATATAAGTGGTTTATTATCTGTCACTAAAATAAATTCTCTATTATATAAATATTGATTAAATTTACACAGAGCAAAAATAATTGATAAACCTTATCTTTCAATTTGTGCATAATTTTTTTCAGCATTGGTTAAAGTTTTTTTTCACTACCATCCGGTATATGATATAAATATGATATAAAATATGAGAAAGCATCGCTCCAATGCCATATGGATTTGCGTCCGTGGTTATTTTTAACTCATACTCAGGATTATAGTGTGTTAGTACTTCCGCTGACATAAGAATATTTTTTACTTTGATAAAAGCTTCCTCACATTTACTAGACCAGTTCCACTTAACATTTTTTTGTAGAAGTTGATACAGTGGGCTTAATAATGTTGCTAGATTGGGAACAAATTTGCCATAATAATTAATCATTCCTAATACTGACTGCAATTGTTTAAGCAAAGTAGGAGAAGGAGCATTTTTTATAGCCAAAATTTTATCTGGTGATGTATGCAAACCTTCTTTGTTAATAATATGTCCTAAATAACTAATTTCATTACAGAAAAAATTGCATTTTTCGGGCAAAACTTTTAATCCGACATCATGTAACCTACCTAATAATTTTTCTAGTCTTACCGTATGTTCCGTTATATCCTTACCACAAATTAAAATGTCGTCTAAAAAACAAACGCAACCATCAATATCTTGTATCAAAGATTCCATTATTTTTTTTAATTTCGAAAGAGCGCACGCCACTCCGTAAGGCAATCTTTGATACTGGAAAAGTCCTTTATGCGTCGAAATCGTAACCAATTCTTTTGATGCATCATCTACTGGTATTTGCGCATAAGCTTGGGATAAATCTAATTTTGAGAAAATGACACCGCCTTGCATTTTCGAGAACAAATCATTAATCTTTGGTAACGGAAACTGATCAATCTGTAATACAGGGTTTATAGTAATTTTAAAATTGCCGCAGATTCTTACAGCACCGGATTTTTTAATAACAGGGACAATAGGTGTCGCCCATGGGGAATAATCAACTGGTTTAAGTACATTTAAATTAATCAAATTATTAATTTCAATTTCAACTTTCTCGCGGATACCAAAAGGTAATGGTCTAGCTTTTATAAAATTTGGTGTAACTGAACTGTCCTTTAATTTTAAAGAAATTGGACCTCTATTAAATTTTCCTAACCCTGGAGAAAAAACTGAATCAAATTTTTTAATTAAAAAATCAGTATCTCTTTCTGATGCAAAATTTACTTGATTGATACTAAAGTTAAATAAATGCATAAAATCTCTGCCAAGTATAGGAGGTCCACCATTTTTAATGACGAAAATATCCAAATCCTTTACTACCTTATTGTATTCAATTTTTAATTTGCACATCCCAAGAGTTAGCATTTCATCCCCATTATAAACATTCAAGCTTTTATTAGCGGGAAATAATTTATACTTAGGAAAATTTTGTTTCCAGAAAATTTCCAAAATAGCTAAAACGCTACCTCCTGAGTCCAGTTGGAAAGAATAAACATTGCTATCAATTTTAACATTAACTAAAAATGGATGTTTAACAAATTTTTCCTCAATGGAAAATATTTCATCAATTTGCGGATGTTCCATGTTTCGGTCTCCGGGATGTGACGTGATGAATCGGCTCCAATTTGACTGCTGGGGGATCTCTCCTGCCGGAAGTCTCCGCCGCCATTTCAGCCACCGCCACCTCAATGACGTCAGCAAAGGTGCACGTGGTCTTCTCCTTAAATAATCTTGCTTGCACTGGCCCTTTATCGAACCCGACTATAAATCGATCTCTGAGCATCATGTCGATTATGTCCTCTTTAAAATCACAGTTCAATGACAAGCTTCTTACTCGAACCGCCCACTCGTTAGAACTCTCTTTCACGTCCTTCATTGCACTAAAAAATTTAGCACGAGCCACAAATGGAAGTTCTGCTACTTTAAAATGTTTGTTAAATAACTCAACTAACGATCTGTAGCTTATTTCTTCAGGCAACTTTGGAAGAGATAAGTTATATATCAGTTTGTAAGCATCCTCATCCATAGAATTTAGCAGTATAGCTCTCTTCTTACTTTCATCTTTGATATTATTCACTATAAAATAGTTTTCTAATCTTCTTTTATAGATAACCCAGTCGCTATTTTCAGCACTGAACTCTCTTAACTGTCCATAATATGAAGGATTTTCAGAGGTCATTTTGTTCGTGGATTCTACACACTAGTGTGTAACACAACTCGTCGCCACAGTAATATCTTGGAGTGGTTATAAATGAAAAATCGTCGATTTTTACTACTTAATTTTATTTCCTTCCCAACACACAGTGATAACATGCATCAAAAATCGTTGAAATTTGCTCTTTTATATCGAGCGCTGTACAAAAAAATAAAAGAAATAAAATAGACAAAAACAATATCTATCCTAGAAAAACATACACAATTCTACATTAATTTATATACAAGGTATTTATAAAATATATAACAGTAATTATCATTGAAAAAAAGGGAATTTGAATTTAAAAAGATTCATTAGTTTTTAGTTCTGTCAGGTAAAATATGGAACACTTGGTATAATTTTCAAGTATTTTGATAGATAGAGGTTCCAGAATGACTTAAAATGCATGTGTTAAAATTTTTATAAATTGTTGATTATCTTAAAAATGGTTAAATTTAGGGATAGGGAAGGGAACCTCTAACATTTTTGACTTGTTGATATTTCAGTACCTAAGATATAAGATGTTCCATTTAAAATAATAAAGTTTACAACTGCTGGCATAATGTTCATGGAATTATTTTCATTGAAGATAGATCTGACAATACCCGTTTACACAATTTTAGAACTATATCTTTAGTTTCTCTGAAACGTCTAGGCTTCTTACCATGAAGAATAACATTGTATACTGAAATTGTTATATAATGTAATGATTCAAAAAAATATTTTACATATATTTTTGTTCTTTAGGTAGGTATAAGATCTTTTTGTTTCCAGATTTTACTTAGGATTGTTTCATCATGTATGGAATTAATGAATATTAATAAAACAAAATTACATATAAACTTCAAGTTTTTAGAAAACAATTTGAAATGGCAGTATGCCCCTTTTGCAGTTTTATGTTGGAACAGCTGGAAAGTCAGCTTTGCCATAGTATACTGTTAAATCTATGGTTAGTACTGATGTATTTTGCCTTTCATGAATAACTATTTAAAATATAAAGGTTGGGTATCTGGCAGACCAGTTTACAGCTGCATCTTGCCCATGCCCAATCCATTGCCTAACAAACTGGTTATGAGGGAACTGTACTGATGCATCATCATTAGGCTTAGTGCGGCGTGGAGTCAGATTACGAATGAAAATATTAATATGTTTACAGAAAATATATCACAACATAGTACTATTACCAAAGAGCAAGGCTAAGTAGAGGATACAATACCTATATAAATTTAAGTGACACCACTTACCTGATAAACCTTAGTGTTGAGACAAGGCTTCCGTGGCATATTGGAAGGAGTTAAAACATTTTACTACGTGCTTCTCTAAGTTTTCTTTAGTGAAACGGCTACGTTTATCACTTAATATTAACTTGTGTAGGGAAAATGACCGTTCAATGTCTACTGTTGACAACGGGCAGTATGAGAAATTGTTGAGGCATGAACTATACAGGGTATTTTTGAATGGAGTAGCATAAATGATACCAGTGAATCTACATTTCAAAAGAACACAATCTGCAAAAAATCGCCTTAGTAAAATGTTCACCCCTGAAGAGATATGGGCTATCAAAGTTTCCAAAAAAAATATGAAAATTGGCTGTAATTTGAAAACCGAACGAGGTACAAATAACAAATTTTTTACAGGTTGTTTACTAATACAGATGCGAGTATTTTTCGAAAATTTTAACCCCTCGAAAGGGGTTGAAATAACCAACCCTCAAGCCATTTTTTGCCATAACTTTTATATTTCGTAAAAACTCGATATCCAAAAATACGCATTAGATAAACTGGTTCTTTTAGAAACTTTTACCTCTCTAGCAATTTTCCTTTAAAACTTTTCGTTTATTAATAAAAAAACATTCACTTCACACCGTATATGATTGCAATCAATCAAAGAAAAACTAAGTGTGCTGCTGTCATGCCAGTTGTCACAATTAACTCTTCTGTAAGTTGTCACTGTTATCAGCTAAATACTTTTTGGGTGTAATATAACAAGAATTATGCCAAATTTTACTAATGATGAATAAACCATAGGTCATAGGTCTTTAATATTCAAGAGCACATCTAATAGATCTGGCAAAGTGTGTTCTAAGAAAATTAGGAACCGAACACCATTTAAACGTGGTAGCAGTTCAACAAGTCCCAATAAATGATCACTGATAATTCCAGCGTATACATTAATAGTAAATTGATGTTGGGAACTGTTGCCTTTGGATTATCGTCACTCTAATCTCCATTCACGACTGTTGTGCAGATTTCTCATAAAACATAACTCCTCAGTAAATAAAACTGTTATTTGTCATTATTTTCGTTTTGTTTATTCTTGAACTAAATACAAAAATTGTCATTGTCCTGGAGTGAAATTTCATGAACTCTTGTTAGGTGATAGAGCTGTAATTGTTATTCTCTTATTATTACTATTATTTAAAATGATTTCTTACACATCTACAATACATACATTTTCTAAAATAAGTTAAAATTTTGCTCGACACTTTCAGTCAGTTGCAAAGTCAAAGTTAAAAGTACTGGGACAAGGAATTTGTTGACCAGAATACTTCTCAACATATTACCTTACTTAACCTAAAGAATTAAATCTACAAGTGCATACACAAAATGCATGTCGGCCAATTCATTTAAATAGTGTACTGATTATATGACAATCAATAAAGTCATTTTGATATCTTGTGATAATTAAAATTTGTGTTGTCGAATTAGATTAAATCCATAATAATATAATTTTTCATGTCAGTGTTTTGAAATTCACTGCTGCCGCTTTGTGTGAGCAGAACTTTACCTTAATTTTCCTCAGGATGTTTAAGAAATTTTTACTTTTAACATATTTTTCTTTCAATGACACGTTTCAAACTACCCGCATCCACACCACTGCTGTTGGGAATCAAGGTTAATTTGCATGTTTTTCTTACATCACAATTGATATTGATAATGGATGTACAAGCTTTGACATTTTATCTTTGGTCGATTAAAAGATAATTTATAAAAATCAAAAGGGAAACAGTAAGAGTAATTTGTTATACAAGTTTGAGTAATATTTAATTTATTTCATTCTACCTCTTTCTATTATTTATGAGTAATACTTAGAAAATTAATTATAAAAATTGAATAATTATCTTAGTGTAGACATTTTGGTCAGCAGTCTCTCTTCAAGAAAAACACTTCTAAATAACCAACTTTAACACCCTGTATCTTGGAAATGCAAGGTTAATGAGAAAAAATTATATGAACTATTTCCACTTTTTTCCAAGCAGAACCACCGTTTCTTTCAAGTATAAACATGACACCGTGTATATCTAGAGTTAGGTATTTTATAAGCTTATTCTACTTTCAGAAATAAGCAGAATGAGTTGGATGGCGAAGTATTTGAGATTTTGTCAACATTTTCGGATTTTCGAGCATTTAAAAATATGTTCCTGGATTATAAAGCAGTAAATTGAAAATCATCTTAAAATTGTAAGAATCTTACGGTATTCATTTATTTCTCTTTTAGATGAAAGAAGGAAGGGTAGTGGATTTTTCACAAGACATATCAATATCAAAATACATAGAAGTTTGAATTCTATCAAGTAAGAAAATAATCTATCTACAGCAGTATAGTAACATATTTATTTCCATCAATTCTTTTCTATAAGTTGCACTGTTTCAATTGTTATATTAATTCTTTTAAATTATTAACATTTTTATTGACCAGGTAATAAAAAACCTTCCAAGTAAAAATTAAATTTGATTTTGAAAATTTATACTATTTTAAGAACATTTTCCTTCACATGTTTTATACCTTACTACTGTTCATTAATATTTTTGCATTTTACTATGAAACAAGAAAATATTTTTTTTATTATTGAACACATTTCAAAATTATGGATGGCAAGTAAAAATAAATCTAATATTATGAAAGAGGCATATAGTCTTTCCGAAGTCAGTTGAACATGCAAAAACACGCCGAGTAATAAAATTTAATGAGTTTCATAGGCGTCCCTAAAAAAGTTTTCTGCTAAAGGTAAAAAATTGTAATAATTTGTGTATAATGTGTAGGAAATTTCTATTATATGTTCATTTGGCCAACAACATATTTTAATTATTTATGTCAATCAATTTTATTCTATTGGTGGTAAATTTCGTTTTGTCCTTTTCAAAAGGTCTCCAAAATGTTATATTGTGATAATATTAGTAAACAAAATATCCCTCTTATTTCTCCCTTTTGCAATTTGTTGATTGATAGGTGCCTATAATAAATTAAAATTACCTGAATCACAGCAAATTCCCCATTGCTGCACTGCACTGCTGGGCAATTTATCAACCACTTGTCAACTGCTCAGATTTATTGCCCAGTAGCACAATGCAACTGTGTTTGTTTTTCTTTGCCCACGCTCGCATTCTTCAACTGGGCGTATACATTTCTACCACCTCCACGTTTAGTTCGACCAGACCTGTATGGCTAAATAAATATAGGAACAAATTTTTAAAATATTTGAATGCCGAGTTACTGCGTCAGCGACCAAACCTGGTACATACTGTCAATCTGTTGGTTCTTCAATTGATATTGGAAATATTATACCAACATGCTAATTTTCACATCTTTTGAAAATTTGAGGTACCAAAAAAAATTAAATTGTAAATCATCAGCAAATATATTTGAAACACTGAAATTATATAACAAGTCAATAAGTATAAGTATACTATACCTAATATATATTAAAAATAATTATTATGCAATAAGTATATCTTTTAATACAAAATACTTTTGCCTATTCTATCACCTAAATCCAGTAAAATCTGTTTTACAAAATTTACCAGTTTTTGAAAATACCCTGATCGAGAAATTGGATCTGAATTATATTAATCACCACATAATACATAAATCTTCCAGCTTCAATAAATTAGAAATAGAACTGGTTCTAATTTATTGATTGATTACATTGTATAATTCTGACATTTATTTTTATATTAACTTTAACTAATTTAAAAAAAGTATTTGTTGTTAGTTATGTTGGTCTGACAAAAATTTTAAGTTTATTATGATCTGTAGTCTTCTGTTATTATGAATGATCACATTTGCCTTAAATATAGTGAATTTTATCTATTAATTAGTTAATTTATACCATCAAAAATTGGTAAATGTAAAACTGGTTTTAAAATTATAGTTATATTAAACTGAGTATATGAGATGTACTTAAATGTCTTTACGATGTATATTTATGAGTAAATTATAATTTGCAGCAGTATAGTTCTATATGGATAAAATAATGTTACTATATTTAAAATTACTGACTGAATTTTTGGTATGATAAAAACGATGAAAATGATTTCTAATAAATTCGAATTTTCTTTTCAATAGTTTTTCGGCATAAATGACAAGACACCAGAGCATCGGCACAAATAGAGCAAGTGCCATGTCCACATAAGAAGACAATATCACGTTTATTTTCCAAGCAAACAGCACAGGTCTGACTTTCTTCCATTTGCGCTATTTTGCTTTCTAATTGTTTGACTTTGAGTTGATCGTCACTAACAGTAGGTTGATCTAAGTTACTGGCTGTATTATTCCTTGAAGTGCTTCCAACCAATTTAGAACTTTCCTTAGTTGCATTTAAAGTTTCATTGTCTGATTCATCTATATCATTATATTCATCATCCTAAAATATTTGATGTTAAATTACTTTGATATTCACAAGCTAATTTTTCAAAACAAATGAAAATATGTTCTGGAATAAACTACTCATATTACTTTCTTCAGTATGCTCCATGTAGTTTTAAATAATTATGACCCTTTTTCAAAAAATGTGCTATCAACATGGATCCACTTTTATTTATGAGGTAAAGGGTGATCAAAGTTTTTTTGATTTTTATTGTTTTACCAAATCAATTGTGATTAAAATGTGGGAAATGGTAGACTTTTTTTTATTAATAAAGTTATTCATAATCTGTTCTCCTTTAAAATATGTAAAATGGTACTTTTTTTTTTTGTTGTTTTTTTTTATATTTAAAAAGAAAATTATGGGCTAAAGTTAGCCAATTTCCCTGTACGTAATTGAACGATTTCTTATATCGACGCTTTAGTACGAAAACATGCTATCTCAAATTAAGCTTGGAAAACGTGCTTGCTCAGTGTGACTAGAAATTTAAGTTGGCACATTGAATGATTGTAACCGTACATTTATAATAAACACATAATATAATTCAAAAAGTAAGAAGGAATATTTATGTTCAGCTCCACTTTATTTTTTATATTTAACATTTTTCAATTAATTTTGTTAAGTTACTGTTATAAACAACAAAATTGTTAATTAAAAAATAGAATAATATGCAGTATGCTGCAACATGTACATTACTCGATGTTTTTTGAAATAACAAATTATATAAAAAATAGTGTATATATAAAAATGTTTGTTATTACTAAAAATTATTCGATTTTTTTCATACAAGTTTGCTTTGATATCAAAATTAATAGCGTACTCTTATAACGTTTATAACAGTATCTTAACAAAATTAATTGAAAAATGTTGAATAAAAAAATAAAATAAAGTGTATCTGAACATAAAAATTCCTTACGTTTTGAAAAATATATTATATAAATTTATTATAAATGTACGGTTTCAATCATTCAATGTGCCAAGGAGTAATAAATGATGTACTCAAGTCAGCATCATAGCTTTAACAATAGTAAATATGTCCAGCACTCAACACTTGTTATTTAAAGTGCATGTGGTCATAGGGACAGTTAAATAACGAACAATACTTTCCTTTACTAAAAAAATATAAACAATAATGTAATTTCAGTATATACATTGTGTATGTATAAAAACGTTTAAAATAAATATTAATAAACATAAAGTAATAAGTATTAAACATTGTACAGACCCGTATAAAAAAAAATTGCAAAAACCAGAAGACTCAACTTATGTTTGATTTAATCTTCATACTGATTGCATGCAACCTATCATTTGATATAGTAAATAATAAAACATTTCATTCCTACTGGAATAAATACAACTCCGAGTGGAAATTACCATGTCAGACCAGCTTGAAAGTAGATTATTTAATTATGGAAATATTACATCAGTAGATGTCGAACGGTCGTTCTCTTCAGAGAATTTTATCACCGACGTAAATAAGTTTCGCTGAAACAAGGGTTGGAACATACTTGACGATGCGTCTATAACGGACCCCATCCGATGGCAACAATGCGAAAAACAATTTACATATTTCACAATGATACAATGACATAATTCTTATAATCATAGTTCACATTATTTTTATGTTGATGATCCGCACGCCTTTGGTGTGCGGCCAATTATGACAGCTCTAGTGATGAAATTATAAAAGTAAAAAATTTAAAGGCGGGGTTGCTTTTTAGTCAAATCTATTTAAAAACTAGAAAAAAAAATTTCTACCTGAATGGCCTCTTGTTCTCTTACTACTTCAAGTAACATCATTTCCTCTTCAGATTGACCTAGAAGTGCAAAAATAAATTAAAAATTATCATTCCATAAAAAGAAAATAATACTACCTAAAACTGGCAAATGTTCTGGATAGTAAAGACGGCTGTCTGGAGCAGGTTCCACAAACTGTATGTCACAATATCCCTTGTACCCCAATCGGCACAATTGTATTTCTCCCTCTAGCCACTTTACATAAGCCGCTGACCTCCAAGAATCATGACTGTTAAATCTATCTATACGGAGGACAATACCAGGTCGATCTAATGACAATAAACAATATATCGTCACCATAACAAATTGATTCAATAATAAGTCACTTGCTTGAATCATTTAAAACATATTTCATATTTTTTTTTATTATTTTGTGCAATAAAAAAGGTATAAAATATGTGACAGTTGTGTAGATTTTTTAAGTTTAAGCATTAGAACTACGGCAAGTTGTCCCGAAATTAGTGTCCAATATTTAACTAGCGGAGACTGCCTAGCCGGGTGTTTGGCCGGCGGATTTCGATCTGCCGCGGCAAGCATCACGGACGCAGGCTGGAATTTGGATGGATGACCTAAGGCAGGCTCGGGGACGTGGCTGTGGCCTACCAGAGACCTGGGTCGCCCTACATTTGCCGCATGCGTGTGGTTCCCGATAAATGGTAATGAGAACAGAGCACAAGAAAACCTCTGTAACTCAAGACGCAGTAAAACGAATAAACAGGAGCAAAAAACGATCAAACCATCAAGGTTTTAGGTACTGAAATCTTCGAAAATACTAACTTTTTTATATATAATTCCACATGTAAATATTCTTATAACATTTACTTGCTTAGTCCTACATATAAAATTGTTTACTTTTATTTATAAGTACGTGAAAATAATTCTTAAAATGTGGGGTTAGAATAACAACAAACGCATGTTTTACAAACGCTTTTTTTTTAGTTATTATTTTATTTGAGTAAATTTAAATGGTAACAATGAATAAACAAAACATCAAGGATTTTATTTTTGTGCTTACTTTTGTTCTACACGTTTTACTTTCAAAGATTTCAGTACCTAAAAAGGCCAGAAATTTCACTATTTCTCGGCCGGGAATATGGCCACCTTAAAAGTAAAACGTGTAGAACAAAAGTAAGCACAAAAATAAAATCCTTGATGTTTTGTTTATTCATTGTTACCATTTAAATTTACTCAAATAAAATAATAACTAAAAAAAAAGCGTTTGTAAAACATGCGTTTGCTGTTATTCTAACCCAACATTTTAAGAATTATTTTCACGTACTTATAAATAAAAGTAAAGAATTCTATATGTAGGACTAAGAAAGTAAATGTTATAAGAATATTTACATGTGGAATTATATATAAAAAAGTTAGTATTTTCGTAGATTTCAGTACCTAAAACCTTGATGGTTTGATCGTTTTTTGCACCTGTTTATTCGTTTTACTGCGGCGTCTTTGAAAATACCCAGGTGGCATGACATAACATTCCTATTATTTGATAAACTTTAGATTATTCAGTTATTAAATGTTTGAAATTATTTGCCTTTGCGGAAAACAATATTTAAAGAATATGGGGCCCTTAAGATGAAACAAGTGGCAGCTGGTAAAAATTAAAGGGGTCATATTTTAATAATGATATGTCGGATTGACACTGGTTTTTAGGAAATGACTTTTATGTTCATACAGAGAACTATCACTATGAAAAAATTTCACATGAAATTAAAATAGTGGTTGTTACTTCAAAGGTTTGTTGTTGTTACGGTAGTTCTGATAATTCTCTTGGAATTCTATCTCAACAAATATTCTGCGGTCTATAGTTATCCCTATTTAAATTATTAAAATATTACCAAATCATTCTAATTAGCTGTCACTGGATAATGAAATTTGAAACCGAGTGTTACTATTATGTGGTGAATGTAATTGTTAAATTTCTAAATTTTAGTCGAGAAATGGAAGGGAGAGGGGTATTTTTATAATGAAGCATGAGCCCCTTATTGTTTTTTAGGGGATAATTTCTAGGCTTACAGAGAGAACCCTCGTGATGGAAAAATTTCTAATGAAGTTCGCAAATTAAAAACTAAAATAGGGGTGGTCGAAATGAGATCTCGAAAAGGGTTGTACACTGCCGGCCCTTTGAAAGTGGCCGATTTATTTTTTAATGTGATGTGGTCTACTTTTCTTATTATGACAAGTTTTTATCAGTGTCATTAGTAATTTGCTTGGTAATTCAAGATGTCACGTTTAACGGAACTAGAGAAAGTGAGAGCTATAACTTTACTTCAGAATGGTTGGTCGTTGCAGATGATCTGCATGTATGCAAGAACAGCATATTTAAACTCAAAAAAAATGAATGCGGAGGGTCACGTGTATTATCATGGAGACTAGATAGATGTATAGTCTCCATGTGTATTATGTTCACGGAGGTGGGTGTCAAAAAGTATGCACCGTTAAAGATATTCTATTCCTTGATCACCTAAGAATAAATCCTTTTGACATGGCAGTACTAGCTTCCTTTGAGACGAATTTTCCTGGATCAGTGCAAACTGCAAGGAAGCGGGTGAAAGATTCGGAGCTGAAGAACTAAGTGGCCAGAAATAAAGTTGCTCTGACTCCCCAGCACAAAGAACAGAGGTTAGAGTTTGCAAGACAATTTTTAGGAAGTCCAGACAACTTTTGGGAGAATGTTATATTTTCGGACGAGAAAAATTTTCAGTTTTGCTCCAATTGACCTGTATCTGTCCATGTCTACCGACCGGAGAATACAAGGTATTCGGAGTAGGGACGTGCGATAATGCAGAAAATATCGATACCTTATATCGATACGGATCGCAAAAATAGTATCGATACAGTAAAATATCGTGTTGAAAAACATCAATACTTAAAATATCGGTACATTTTCGATACAGAGTATTGTGACAAAACAAATAAATGTTAATTATAAGATGTCAGCCCAGAAGCAACAACAGAAGAAATTCCATTTGAAAATTAGTTCACTTGTAAGTATGCGGACATTTTTTATAACATAATACAAACATATATAACAGCAATAAAAAATTGGGGGCTTTCGTTTTGGCAAAAATAGTACTTATTAGCAATTAATATCAATCAGTTCAGAGTAACTCTAAGTTGCTATTAGTTACTAATAGCTATTATTTTTGCCAAATCGAAAGGCCCTAATCTGTAACCAGTAAACAGACGTGCAACATTACTGGATGGACACAAAGGAATATTATTTCTACTAATATATTATGCTGCTGAATAATAGGTGACACTCGGATCGTACGGTTCCCCGATGACATAAAAAACTTAATACGTGACAGACGACGTGCGAAACGGCTTGCCACCCGCACCCGCCTCCCCCGACACAGACATGACTTAAACGTACTTAACAGACGGGTGAAGGCGGCTCTGGATGAACTGGCCCAGGATAACTGGGCTAGGCACCTGGAGTCGCTGGATCCACAAGACAACAGCCTCTGGAAAACGCAGAGGGCCCTGCGACAGACCGCTCGCCGTAAAATTCCTCCAATCCACGGTAGTGTGGGGGTGGTTTACACGAACCAGGAAAAGGCCGAGGCTTTCGCCGATAGCCTGGAACTGCAGTGTAGACTGCCTCAGCTGCCCGACGAAGACGAGGAATTCGAGATAGTGGCTGAGCGCGCGGCCCGACGCGTCGACAGAGAGCCAGACAATGACATAATCCCCCCCGCAACACCTGACGAACTAAGACTGACAATACGCAGACTTAAAAACAGAAAAGCCCCCGGACCCGACAGTATACAGAACACGACACTTAAACGACTACCACACAAGGGCCTCACGGCCCTACTAAACATAACAAACGCGACACTCAGACTAAGACACTTCCCTATCCGCTGGAAAACAGCAAACATAATCCTTATCCCAAAACCCAACAAAGATCACACCATCCCATCCAACTACCGGCCCATTAGCCTGCTCCCGGCTATGAGCAAAGTGGTAGAAAAAATTATCCTAACCCGTCTAAAAACCCACTCCCAAGAACTGCAAGTCATTCCAGACGAGCAGTTCGCCTTCCGACCCAATCACTCCACTGAACTCCAAATCCTTCGCCTTACCGAGCACATCACGGCGGCCTTCAACAGGGGACAGTACACTGGTGCTGTCTTCCTGGACGTCGCAAAGGCCTTCGATACGGTTTGGCATGAAGGCCTACTGATGAAAATGCTCACCAACCAATATCCCATATCCTTTACCAAACTCATAAAATCCTACCTACACCACCGTAAATTCCGCATCCAAATCCAAGATTCCCTTTCCACCACCCGTCCCATGGACTTATACACCATTTACAACTCCGATATCCCACATCCCCCCAACACCAACATATACTTATACGCCGACGACCTGACAATCACATCCCAATCCGTAGATCCTAGATATTCCGTCTCCCTCCTCCAAAACTCCTTAGACCAACTTGAAACCTGGTGCAACAGGTGGAAAGTCAAAATTAATCCCAACAAAAGTTCGGCTATCCTTTTTACCAAACGAAAAATCCCACAAAACCTCGACAGACTGACACTATCCCAGGAACCTATCTCCTGGAATCGACAAACACGATACCTGGGCGTGACGATGGACCAGCGTCTCACGTGGAAACCGCACATCGTGGAGACGGTGGCGCGAGCGAAGACCACCAGGGCTAGGCTCTATCCCTTACTCAAAGGTGGAAACACCCTCAGTTTAAGGAATAAGCGAACGCTTATCAAGGTGGTACTTCAACCGCAGCTAACCTACGCCTCCACGGCGTGGGGTCACGCGGCAAAAAGCCACTTAAAGTCATTACAGGCTGTGGAAAACATAGCCCTCCGCACGGCCACCGACGCGCCCTGGTACGTAAGAAACACTGACATATTACGAGACTTACAATACACAAACGCTACACAGACAATAAGACAAAACGCGGAGAAACGATTTGACGTAGCCGCTAGACATGACAATCCCCTCCTTAGGCAAGCCGTTGACTACGTACCCGACGTGACCGACAAACACAAAAGACCTAGACACCAACTTTTTGACCCTGGGTGACCACCCCAATGACCCCCCCCCCCTGCCCGCTAACCTTTTCTGTTTCAGAGACAGCCAGGATCAAGAAACGAAGACAACGACACACACACACACATACACACCCCCCATACCCTCCTTAACCCTCCCCTCCCGCGCTAGCCTAAGGGCCACCTTAGCAAAGCGCATCCCAGGCTGCATAGCCGCACTACCCTACCCAACCATACCACACATAAACATGACACTACCCCCGGGGTTTACACAGACGAGCCGGCGAAGCAAGAAGAGCGCCAGAAGAAAGGGCCCTAGCCGGCGGGGCCCAGCCAGGACAAAAGGAGGTCCCACAAAGCGCCTACACCGGCCGCATTTGCGGTCGGGGTAGACGACGGATGGGGCCCACCTACGAAGGCTGTCCAGGCCTACACGAGATGAGGCAGGATAAAGAGGGATAATCCCCCTCGATCCCAAATCATTGAGGCCAATTTCTAGCCATAGAATAATGGCGCGCGGATCGTACGGTTCCGATATACAGGCAAGAGTATCGATACTCGTAATGTATTGTATAGAAAATATCGATACAAAATATCGGGTATCGGAGCAAAAGTATCGATACTCTGAATTATTGTATCGTATCGCACATCCCTAATTCGGAGCTTTATGTGAAACCCTCACAGCGGCGCAGCGGAAGATTCTTCATTAACGTACTGGCTTGAGTAAGCTGCCAAGGGCATGGTGTTTGTTGGAGAATGGAAGAGCGCTTCACTGGACTGAGCTATGTGTGCATAATGGAAAATGTTATGGTGCCATCCGTAACCTGTATTCTCAGAACTTCACTTTCCAGCAGGATAATTGTTCAATTCACACCTCAAGAGTTCTGTCAGAACGGTTCATTGATAACAACATCGATGATTTACCTTAGCCCTCAAAGTCCCCTGACCTCAATCCTACCGAGAATGCCTGGGGATATATGGTGAAAAAAATCTACGATAGAAACTTCCGTCCAGTTAAGGCCGAAGAACTTTTGGAGGCAATTGAAAACGCATGGGATAACATCACTGAGGATTACACAAGAACATTAATTTTATCAATGCCACCTAGATGGCAAATGTTATAGACAAAAATGGTGCTTGGACAAAATATTAACTTTACGAATCGCGTTTTTCTGACGGCTAAAAGTGTTTCGTTAACAGATCTCGGTGACGGCGAATGAATGGCCGTTGGAATGTATAGTATATTTCAGTATTGGAAAAATAAATAATTTGCTACCTATTTTGGATTTGCTTTGCTCACTAGAACTAGTATGATAGACAATTTGCTTATAAGAGTCGTTCACTTTCAAAGGGCCGGCGCTGTACATATATTTGCAAAATATATTTTTTTTATAGATATAAATAGCTGTTTTCTGTTTTTTCGAAAAATTTACATTTTTTTTTTTAAGTTACAGCATTATGAAATTCATACCAAATTATAATTTAAATAGATATCACTTTGAAGAAAAATTAATTTTGCACGAGTTAAAAAAGACCTATCTACTGATTATGAAAGAAAATATTTAGCAAATATGCGTAACTCTTTTCGATATCTTAGGGTCGGCTTCCCCTATTTTAATATTTTATTTTACAAATTTCATTCGAAATTCTTTCATCAATAAAACTGTCTATGTGGATGTAGAAAAAATCATCCCCTAAAAACCCATGTTTCATTATCAAAATATGATCACTGCAATTTTCGAGAGCCGTCACTGGCATGCGGACCCTTCAACTGATCCAAAAATTAGAAATTGTACAGTGGAAAGGTACTCTTGTGAAAATTTGATAGTTTTTACTGTTTTGGAGTAAAATTGATTTAGAAATTTTGTAATGCAAGCTGAAAAAATGTGAAATGGAATTTGTGAACACACAGTTCGTACTCAATATTCTTTAAAAACAGTGACAGGAAGATATAAAAATATTTAAAACTCATTGTAAAAAATTGTTTTTCGAAAACTCACTAAAAGTTGACTTTTACGTGATATTTCTTAAGTGTTAAAACAACAGTTTTTATCTACAAATCGTAAAAGTCTTTTACGATGTAAAAGATTTTTACATCCCTACAAAAAACAATGAAATTATAGTATAGGTGATAGAATTTGTTCACCAGTTAATTTATTATTATCAACAGAAACATAAATTTTAACAATTATTAATAATTAGTTTAATTAACAATCAATTTAACAGTTAATAATTTCTTTTAACGCTTAAATTTAAAGTCGTAATTGTGAATTGTGAAAACTGACACCACTTGAGGATGGTAATTTGCTCACTGCAATAGTGTCTTGATTAACAGATACTGACGGGCGAAAGAATATTTATATTAAAATATATGCTTATGCAGTAAGTGGTAGATGGCATACATGTCAAATAAATTAATTAGAAATGTCAACATTTTTTCTTCACATTTTTAATACCTAATTTTTGAACTGTAGGATACAGTTTTCATAAAAATGTTTGATACTCAATTGCGAAATTCTTTTGCAAAAATTTTCACATTCTAGCATTAAAAATGACTATTTGGCTATTAAAATTATATAAAAATAATTTAGAAAGAGTAAATTTGTAGGTAAGTAATTGGACAGAAAATGTTTTATTTGTACTGGGAAATAAAAAAAAACAGAATATACCGTTACATCGATCTAAAATTTTGTACTTGTTTTACCGGTTTTCTTCGCTTCCATTTTTTTGTTAAAAAGATTGATTTTTCTGTTCTTAGATTTTTTTTAAATTTTGTACTAACACTGTATAACCTATCAACCTTTTTACTGAAAAATTGATTTAAATCAAACACTTCTGATTAAAAATGAGGTTTCTAAGATATTAGAAAACATGTACTGACTCGTTATGGGCTGTAACCGCTATAGTGTAGGTAAAATATTGAATGTTAACTTTGAGACACTGTATATTTGTATACATAATTAAACAATGGTTATAGATTACCTTGATCTCCATTTTGGTTACCATAATCCCAATCAATGCCTTGAATAACCCTTGCATTTTTAAAGATACCTCTCAATTGACATTTTCGAGAAGCTAAACGTGGTGGCAGCTTAATTCTGAAAAGAAAGATCTCGAAAAAATTTTACTTCTAATTATTTTTTTATTACCCAAGTGAATGTGGTGTCTCCAATCTTGTAAAACTATGGCTCATGTCATGTTTGTCTCCATGATAACACATGTAGCATAAATCATAGTTGTTACAGTTGTTACATTTGTATCTCATTCCACATATATCACTAGAAATGTTCTCTTCCCAAAAAATATTTTCATTTATATTATCTGAAAAATATGATATTTAAATATCTCGTAAATAGAATATTTACCAGATAAATCTGACATTTGCATCCTAATTTACTTTATAATATAAATTACTGAATGTACAATTTATTTCACAGTTTAGTACAAATAATAATATTAATAATAATTATTAATAATA